ACAGCCAGCTAAGTAAGTCGAAATGCATTTTCAGAGAATACTAACATAAACAGGAACATCACAAATACGCAAAATTAATGGTATCGTTATAATGAAAGAAAGTATGCTCAACAATGGGCATGGCCATGCGTTCAGAGACGTTCATATGGATGGACATATATCGTCTCATAAAGAAAGCCGATGTCTTAATCTCCATTCACTGTCTTTCCATTAACTCGAGGATATTTGATGCAGTCAAATGCTAAAGACTCTGTATAAAGGTGTCACAAGTGTTGAGTGTTATACACGGCTTTAGGTTGAGCCCAATACTCGTTGACAAAGTTTCATTGGTTGCTGCTTCCGCGTAAACACATGTCACATGATATTGAGTTAAGTTACACCCAAAATAATATCGTAAATTGTGCTGCAGTGTTGGATTTGTGTTCTCAATAGCATCCTCCAAACATGTCGAATGCCTCAAGTCCACGACCTAACAAGCCTCGCTTCTTATGCTCTTAAAAAAGCCAAATTTCTCCGCAGCCGTAGAATCAGTGAGTGATACCCGGTACTACTCACACCTAGACGAGTTAACACCTACTCAGGCGCTATTCCAAGTCCCTCTGCCCATCCCTCCCCTCCCCCGACAAACCCCTCTATAACCCCACTTTCTATCAAACATCCATGGTGTTGAAGACCACGACGACGACAACGACTGCACGAGTTTAAAGCAATCATCCAATTAAATTTAGGTGCGTTATTAACCAACTGCCAATCGTCTCAGTGGGAAATAAAGCAAAGTAAATCTAACTAATTGTCGTTCCAAGTCAAGTCGAGGCATTCCAGAAATAACTTAAAATGAAGCAATTCCTGTTGCGATTGAAACCCCATTAATGATATGTGATCGTTCATCAATCTAAGTAAAATCAGCTCCAAACTAATTACTCACAAAATACCACTGAGTGAATTTTTTCAAGCACTCCAGCTGTCATATGTCCTGCGCACTTCCGTTCAGGAGGTGCATTCCCTTCGCGACAGTAAAGTCCGTGATACCCTCACTACTAGGAGAATATCAGTAGATATGTTATCTACACCTCGACACCCGCTGCATAACTTGAAGTTTTTCCGTTAACATGCCACTGTTGAACCAACAAGTCCTGCCTACTCACAGGCGATAAGACGTGACCTAATTTGCACCTCGGTAATATCCTCCAAACATGTTGAATGCCTCACGTCCACGATCTAACAAGCCTCGTTTCGGTGTGTTTTTAAAAAACGCCAAATTTCTCCGCAACCGTAGAATCAGTGAGTGATACCCAGTACTACTCACACCTAGACAAGTTAACACCTACTCGGCACCCACCGCATTACTTGTAAAGTAAAGTTTACTTAACGACTCCCCAATTATCTGTGTGTTGTTAAAATCGCTGCAACAGACGGTGTCGATTTACCTAAAGCGATGCCTTCACAAAAACTACCAACGCGACCGAGGCATGATTCTGGCAACCCGGTTTTGGAATCGAACGTTTATGTCTTACACGAAACCCTACTGTGACTACTAACACCATTTAATTCCACTAAGCCAATGCCTCTGATGAATAATAATTACTTATGCCCCACACCGGCAAACTTTGTGGATTGCATAAATTTGTGGTGAATCGTGTTGATTCACGTCCAATAACCCTGTCCTCGCAGCTTTCAGCACACCTCCCCCCTTGTCACGTGAGACCGCT